GCTGGCCAATGGCAATATATCCGCCTCCATCCTGAACAGCCTCTTTAATGAGAACTTGGTTAAGGAAGGTAATGACAGACTTGGTTAAACATATTAGATTATCTTTCAGAGTGAGGGATTGATGAACTGACTCATGCTCTGTTTTATTGCAGGTGTATCTGCCGCCTTCGCTGTGAAACTGTTCAAATCTTGGATTAACGAAAAAGACATCAACTCAGTTGCTGCTAGCCTGCGTAAAGTTGGCATGGACAACAGGCTAATGGTAAATGTCATGCATGCAGACTCAACTGAAACAACACTTGAATCTCAAACGCTCAAAAGATTTGCTTGATTTCTGATGTAAAGGTGATGCTTCACACACATTTAAATTAGCATTTACTCAAACTGGTTTGGAATGATTAGGGTGAGTTTCTATCTGATGTTGAGCCAGATATTTTGAAGAAGTTTGAGAACTGGGGCCTGTTTCAGTAAGGAGGTTCAAACAACTCAGAGTTTAAACTTGAATTCTGAGTTGATTTACTGAGAGATTAAAAACTCTGAGTTTTCGGTTTCAGAACAGCTGATCTGAGTTGGGTCAATCAACTTCGAGTAGACCAACTCTATAAAAAGGCATTATCAATGGAGCGCAGACATTACGAGTGACTATGGCAATATCTTATAAATGAGATCACCATTTCTTTCTCCAGCTGAACTTTATGTTCTCATGCAATGTTATAGCAAATATGAGCGTATATATTTGAAAAGAAGCAACCATCAGTGAAGAAGAGACAGTTAGCGTGGGAAAACAGCTGCTCAAGTTAATGCCTAATTTCACTTTTTAAGTATTTAAATATTTAAGTATAATAAAATAAGTAATGTAATTTGTGACGTTTATATATTTTTTTCTAAACTTTTTTTTATACATTTATTAGTTTTAAATGATTTAACAGTGCACTTGTGTGTCTGCCTTTTTTATTGATCAAGTGATAGAGGTTAATATAACATTTAGAAGGTAAGCAGTACTAAAAAATTTTTTTAGAAAGAATAATAATCCCATTAATCTAGTTACATGCATGTCGAAGGTGAATTTAATTTATTTATTAAAAAAGGATAAGCCATTCTCGTACAGTTCTTCTGTGTGTGACTAAAATGTAGGCAATAGCTATGTTTCCATCCAAATATATTACATAAATGTATGTGCAAAACTGGAATATTGCATAAAAGATGCGAATAAAATTCCATCCAACGAGTCAAAGAGAAAAAAATTGTCACTTTGATTAAACTGGCACCAAATATCAACAGTAAAAACAGAATTTACTGTGGTAGATTATTTAGCCTAATTAATGTACTTGCGCCTCGATGTCAGAAGACAATGCTGAAACACAATGAACACATGGGGGCGTCTGAAGCCATGAGACGCGGAGACTTGACACGCACGAGACGTTCGGAGGTAATTAATAATATACAATAATACTAAAACAGTAAAGGCATTTTAGAATGACTAAAACAATATTTAAGACGTGTTGCAGTGTGCTCAGCCTGCTGGTTTGTTCATTTACACACATTTTCATTATCATATGATCATGATCTTTTTTTTAATGTACATACTGTAATTTCAGTAAAAGTGTTTCCATCGTAGTTTATGCGCACATTTTCTGTCGAATAAAAGTTTATCCTACTCAGTTATGCGCGTTTTTTATGCATATTTTAAAAAGTTATGTGCATCATGACGTTTCCATCAATCGTTTTTATGCAAGTATCCAAATTAAGCATAAAAATAGGTGGGTGGAAATGTAAGGCTAAGGCGAGAAATACCGCTTCGTCTTTAAAAAAGGGGAGGAGACCGACAGAAACTGAGTTTAGAGAATAAAACCTGCTTCTGACCAGGTTAGATTCACAGAGTAAGTTACCACAGTAACTGACTCTGAGTTAAAGTTACCTTTCTTCCAGAAACAGGCTTGACTTACCCTGCTTTCTCGAGTTTAACAAACCTGCCATTTTGAAACGGAAAACCCAGAGTTTCTCTCATTTCAGGGTTAAAATACTGAGTTTTCAGTTAACCTCCTTTCTGAAACAGGCCCCTGGTAGCCATTGACCTAAAAAATATAAGCACAATCTTTTGGAACACTCTGATTCTGGGGGTCACTCTTCTAAATAACATTGTTCATATTTTGCTGTCCATTTACATTTTTAATCAGAGTTGAAGTTTCTAAGCATTTATTTACTAATTGCAATCTCTGTATAACAGTACCGTCATCCTTAATCACTTATTTTTGAAGAATTTTTTTAGGATAGATGAGCACTCCATGTTACAAAGAGATTATGAAAAACCTTTACGTTTTATAAATTTTCCCAAAAGAGCATCAGAGTTTGCTATTAACCTTATAAAAATGTACAGCTGAAGTCTATTAGCTCTTTTGTGAAACTATCATTGTTCAAATATTTTTCTTGTACTGCTAGTATTTATCAACCCATTTAAACATAATGCTTTTAATTACAATTTTTTTTTTCAAGTTATTTTGCAAGATACAAGTATTTGGCTTAAATCCTCCAGCAAGCTTTAAAACAGAGTAATGCTTCATTAGTTTGCAGCACAGTGCAGTAGGCCTAGTTCACTTTCGCTTTTAACCCGCTTTGCAGAACAAACCATGAGCTGCCATTCATAATGCACTGTGCTTAATGACAAACTTTCCTGTCTGTCTCCTTGGGTGATTTTTAAAACTGCTGGCACAACGAATAAGTAGTTAAGCATGTCATCACATCTATGATGACCTGAGGTTTTGCTTGCTTTTTATTTCTTCTTTTTTTTTCTTTTTTTGAGGAATGCAGCCGTACAGCAGATCAGAAGGACTGCGCCTGTAATTATCCATCTGTCCAAATAAAGCGCATTGTGCAGCATGCAAATGTGCACCTACAAGCAGTGTTCTGATTGGCTAAAGTAGACGTCTCATGTCTGCGCATTCTAGACGTAAACGCGCTCTTTCTGGCTATCTTCCTTGCATTCACAGCACAGCATTCCGGCAAATTACCGGCAATCTTACAACTTATTTTTTCAGAAAATAGCCAAAGCGAATTTACTGTTGTTGTTTTTTTAAAGGGCCTGTTCACACATAAAGAACTCTCTGGAAAATTTTGAAAGGGACTTATGACTGCCAGTTTCCAACATTCTCCAAACACTTGTGATCACGAGAGAGAGAAACAAAGGTTTTAATCCATTCGACCAATCATAAGTTAATTTAAATTGTGAAAACTTACAGTTCCAAATTCTCTACTGATTTGGTTTACACATTTTAAAAGTGATAAACAAGTTTTTGGTGTTAATCTTAGTGTAATTTTTTCAGACTTTTAAAATATTTACAAACCTGGAATAAAACCAATATGAAAACATGTAATTTAATGTGAATGTAAACTTCAGTATGAAAACATGAAAACCCTAGGTTTTCTGAACCGTTATTAGGATAACCTTGAAGTTACAGAATAAACTCTGTGTTTAATGCATTTTAATAAAAACTAAGCCTTGATTGAGCCAGGTAATGTATAAAGGATCTTTTTCCTATTTTATTTTTGAGTTTACTTAAAAATTGATTTCTATTAGATTTACAAGACACCCTAAATTCAGTGATGAAATCAACTGAGGGGGTCAAGTCAGTTGTGAGATTCTTACAATCGAATTTGATTAAGCATTCCCTACCTCAGAATTGTAAGGTCAAGAAAAATCAAACCAGATATGAATTCAGATTTCTCTGTTCATTGAGCTGATTTCAGCTTAAGTTTTGTTTTCCATTTGAATATGTTAGAACTTTTCATGCAATTCTTGATTCATGTTTCAGTAATGATCAGTGTGTGAATGATTTAATTTTGTTTTTAAACCTGTCCACTTAAAACAGGAGCTGTTCCCTGCCAACAAGCGTAGCTGCGAACATTTCTCCAAATATTTCACCGACGCTGGGCTGAAGGAGCTTTCTGACTTTGCTCGCAACCAGCAGTCCATTGGAGCACGCAAGGAGCTTCAGAAAGAGCTGCAGGAGCAGATGTCCCGTGGCGAAACTCTCAAAGATGTACGTTTTACTTAAGTAGTTTAAAAACACTAATAGCTTAAAAACTTGACTGTTTTTATTGACTCTGGAGGTTTAATTGATTTCTTTCTCTCCACAGATCATTGCCTACGTTCGTGAAGAGATGAAGAAAACTAGCATCTCCGAGCAGACAATGATCGGCATCGTGTGGACCAGTGTCATGAGCTCCGTCGAGTGGAATAAAAAGGAGGAGCTCGTCACAGAGCAAGCCATCAAACACTTGAAGGTATCCACAACATTCATGTAAACATCATTCAATGCATTTTCATCCCAAAAAAATAACATTCACTCACCCGCAAGTGGTTTCTTTAATCTATGCGGAGTTTGATTGAAAGGTTAATCTTATTTCTTTTTGCTCATTTTCCAGCAATACAGCCCACTGCTGAAGGCCTTCACCTCACAGGGCCTGTCTGAGCTCACACTCCTGCTGAAGATCCAGGAGTACTGCTATGACAATATCCACTTCATGAAGGCCTTCCAGAAGATCGTGGTGCTTCTTTACAAAGGTGTCTTTTCAGTAGTTCTTTTTCAAATCTGTTCTCTTGGGTCTAAGGCTTGGTTTTGTGCAAAAAAATCTAGGCTGTGCCAAGGTTATGTCTGCTTTGAAACTCATCATTTTTCTTTTGTTTTTGGCTGCTTGTAGCTGATGTTTTGAGTGAGGAGGTGATTTTGAAGTGGTACACAGAAGGCCATGTGGCCAAAGGAAAGAGCGTCTTCCTTGAGCAGATGAAGAAGTTTGTGGAATGGCTGAAAAACGCAGAAGAGGGTAAGTTTTTAATCACATCCCCTCAGATTTTGTAAAAATGGATTTGATAGTTAAAGTTTCCATGTGTTATCTTTCAGAGTCTGAATCTGAGGAAGAAGAGGGAGACTAAAATACCATGTCAGCAGAATGTTTTGTTACAGAAGTGCTTGTCTTTCTATTTTTTTTATTTTATTTTTTGCTTTTTTTTTTTTTTTTTTTTTTTTTGATTCTACCTCCTGTTTTTTCAAACCATAACATTTAGATGTCATTTAAGGGCTTTATAACAAATGGTTAATTTTAACAGATTTTTCTAATAAGGTTTACACTTAAGATAGCACAAAAGTTGTGGTCAACCTTTGTAATTATTTACTCACTCAAGGAACTTTTAAGTGTTGACACAGTTCGGACATCTTAAATTATTGTTCTAGTGATTCCTTTATGAATTGACATTCCATTGAATTAGATCAGGCTGCCTTGTTTGCTTTTAAGACGCCCTTTTCTATATGGTATTGATGCCTTCATGCCCTGTCATGATCAGTGTTCCACAAAGGGAATAAACGGTCCTCTTTGTCTCATCGTGATGTTATTGCCAAAGGGTTGAGTCCTTCTCCCATAACATCCATCGGCGTTCTGTTCCCTGCCTATCAAACTGTACAGCGCTGAAAACAATTTGCAGATCACCTGTAAAGACCCTTAAATGACTCCCAACCTCTTCTATGATGTACCTCCATCTTATTCGTCACCAGTTTCTTTAATCTGACAAACTAATTGACTTTTTTTAAGAAATAAAGATCTAGAAGTATATTCTTGGCTTGTTTTTGTTATTTATTTTAATTGTGACTTCAGATTTGTTTTGAGCGGTGTGTAGGTTCTTCCACCAGGGGGCATCTGAAAACCAGAATGCAGAGACTTTTTCAAAAATATTTTAATGATTTGAGTCATGAGTACAGACTTTTTTTTTTTTCTTGTACAAAAATACCTGATCATTAAATAGCAGCTTGATGTTTTACATGTGCAAAGGACCTTTTTTTTTAATTAAAAGACAGTTCAAGTATTAGAATATAACAGGCCAGTTTGTATCTTTCATTTCAAATGCTTAAGCAGGCCATTTGTTGTATTTCAACCTTTATTTGGGTAAAAAAAAGTGCAGTTATTTACAAATTGTTTAAGCCTTATCCTACAGCATTTATAGTTCAATATGTGGTGCTTTTTTCTTGGTAGTGCACATCTTTATTTAATACAAGTAAATGCAAGTCATTCTGCACAATCAGAAAAACCTACAAGCTGCTGTTTTGACTTGTGCAAGACGCAGGTAAACACGTTGCATAGAAATGACTATGCTGTACATAAGTTCACATCGCAGGTGTAGAATCTGAAATTACAATAAGGGTTAGGCTCAAATTCATCATTGCTATTTTATGTAAACAATGTATTTGGAGGTTTAGCAAGTGATATAGTAGTGAGCTTATAGCACATGTTACATTTACAAAAGCTTGTTCATCGGCAACTTGGGGCATATTTTGGGGCATTTGTTAAAAAGCAGCTTTCTCTTGAAGCCCATGCTGGTACAGTCCCCACTAATGTTCAGCTTAATGATTTGATTTGGGAAAAGTGCCTTAGCATTATTCTTGCTATTTGCTGTTCTTGAGTGCAGGATTTGGATATTGGTGCTCTAAGTGTATTATACAGACTCAAATCTGTGTGAAGTTGCCCTTCCAAGAGCAAGATAAGGCACCCTGTCAAATGCCTTTCTGCAGATAAAAAAAAAAGCCAAGTCATTGTGTAATTGACAGAGCAAGGGCACAATGTAACATGAACAAGCTTTTGCCCATTGCAACCCCAAATAGCCTTTTCCGAAGTGCACACTACAAATTACGTCACCAACGTGAACTCCTACTGGGTCATGACCCAGGGCTTGTATTAGGGATTATGTGCCTTGTTCTCAAGACATGAAAGATCAGGTTCTCATCATGAACTACTTCCACCTTTAACATTCAGTCATGTGCCGCTTGAACTTTCTGATAAATATTTAGCATGCTTGCCCATCCCAAATGTTCATGCTGAGGATAGAATCTTGTTTACAGTCTCTCAAGAGCCATGTTGGGATCGTGGTCCATGCGTCGATGTGGAGACAAGAGGGAGGGGATGTGATTTTTGCCCGCTGTTGTACTGACAGCGACCACTGCAAACCACAAGGTTTCAGTTACCATCATGTGACAGGCGAGGGGCAGACACAAGACTGTTTTTTTAAGGCAAGGGATGGTGTCGCTTACTATATCTGATACTGAAATAGCCTCCCACCAGGTGCAACTTTACACATATTCTCCGGTTACATTAACCAAAACAGTTGATAAGGTGGACACCCCTGAAGACACAGGGATAAAAAAAAGTGCAGATCCGTGTCTCCATGTCACTCCTTTCGTCTGTCCTCGTAGATAAAATAAAAAAAAAACCCCAGCAAAACGTCTCTGTGCAAGGCAATATCTCTTTACATGTAAACATTCAGAGGTTGAGAGCTCATACGTAGCAGCGGTCAGTCAGAGAACTTCTGTCACGCAGTTGTGTGCTTTTCCCCATCTCGAAGCTGCAGAGGTAGACGATCATTAAAATGTGTTAGAATTTACACCTGCAGCATTTTTCACTTATCAGATTGTGTGAAAAACATAGGCTTGCTATCTTGCAATCAAGCAACTTGCAGAACTGCAAATAAAATCAAATTTTGCCAAGCAAAAGAGTTCCCAAATACTTCAGTTCTTGCCACTCTTATCTTGATACAATCAACAGGAAACACTTTAAAGACTCACCATTTTCCTTTGGTTGCTCAGGCAGAAGGTGCAGATGGGTCGGACTGGTGGGGATTTAAGGTTGGCATTGCTTTGTAAGATGTTGTGATATTTCAGACAGGGTTGCCCGTCCCTGCAGTCCTCCCCTAACAGAAGCACATTGGCCAGGTGTGAAATGTAGCTCGATGCCAATCGTAGAGTCTCAATTTTTGACAACTTCCTGTCGGCCGGCTCCGTTGGGATAAGGGTGCGCAGAGATGTGAAGGCAGTGTTGACGCTGTGAGTGCGGTCTCTCTCCCGGGCATTCGCTGCCTGCCGTTGTTTGCTCACTCCTGCAAGTCTGCGGCTCCCTCGGCGTCTCCTGACCTCTCTATGGCCCCTGGTGGGGCTCCCAGCTCCAGTGGATTTCTCCGAGCTGTCACTGCCGCTGTCCAGATCATCAGGGTCGGAGGGCAAGCTCTGGGTATCGTGTGCGGGATGTGCGTGAGCTAGCCCGTGCTCGCCTGTACTGGACTTCATGGCGTGCAGAGTTGTTGTGGGTAGTCCATGGCGTAGAAGCTGGCTGCCCATGGTGCTTTAAGCTGAGTGAAAATAGCAGCCGGGGGCAGCTGCGTCTGATCCGGTGTCCAGAGATCTTCCGTGGCCCCGTGGCACTTCAGCATGCCATTTCTTGAATGACTGATCCCTTTCTGGATTTGTCCGCCACCATGTGGCTGCGAAAAAGGATGGACAGGTGGAGCTGGGGGCCACCTGTCAAGCCCCAAAGAAGGAGGATGTATGAAGATATAAATAAGTGCACGCACTTGCACATGCACAGGGATTTTTGTGTTTGTTACACCTTTGGCTTAATATTTGACTACCAGGTCCTTTGGGTAACCTTGTACAGGGTGTCAGGATGGTAGATCTGCTTTCCATAAGAAGGCTTACCTCAGATTTTGGCCTTTCATTCTAGAACATTCATCCCTCGTTTATAATATTGTTTGTTCATACTTGGTACCTTAAAAATGTATCTACAATTAAGCAACCATGTTCTGTTTCACCCAGCGCTAAATTTAGCGCAAAGTTTACAGACAGAGGCTGTTGTCGTTGCCTGTAAAATTCATATCACATGGGCTGTGGGTCACACCAGGTCCAAAAGGAGAGCGAGAGAGATGCAGCTGGCCGCATAGAGGGCAGTGTTGCAAATTTGACAGAATGTAGCTTACAACACTCATTTCAGAGCTTGTAGATTCACTGTCCTGCACATTTATGCTTGGTTAACTTCAATCTAACGCAACTAAATATGCTAGCGAAGGTCTAAGGGTTACTGCAAAGCTACAGGAAGATGGGTTTTCATCACGGTTGGATCAAATTCTGCAGGACTGAACTTGGTTAACCCTGACCTATTTAAAATGCAAGCAAAAAGAAGAATGGTGAAGAGTTCTTTTCCTCAATCTGAGTATTTAAAGCTGTGCTTTTAGATGTACTGAACATTACTGTCCCAAAGATTATCATTTGAGGGATCTTCAAGGTAAAGTCTATCCTGGGGATTGGCAACTAGCGTTAGCATGTAGGTCTCAGCATTAGCACTGTATAAGGTGCTCTCTCTTTCCAGCTGCCCTCCAGTTTCTCTTTAATGCCCTGCCTGACTGAACGGCCCAGGTGTTTTCCTGTCTTCCATATTCACACACTGTGGTCCCTCTTTAGATGCAGTAAAAATATCAGTAAGTGTTTACTATACCTATGTTGCATTGCTGCTTGTTTTATGCTTGTACAACCCTGTTAGACTATTAAGTTTAAAAAACATTTTATCTTTAGAATCTATGATTTAGTTCAGCACGTCCAATCCTCCTCCTGGAGGGCCATCATCCTGCTGGAGTCCAACCAAGTTCAAAAGACTTTCCTTGAGGTTTAATTTAACTATATATTATTTGCAGGGGATGTCATGGTGGCGCAGTGGGTAGCACAATCGCCTCACAGCAAGAATGTCTCTGGTTTGAGCCCCAGCTGAGTCAGCTGGCATTTCTGTGTGGAGTCTCCCTGTATTCAAGTGTGTTTCCTCGAGTGAGTATTCTGGTTTTCCCCACAGTCCAAAGACATGCGGTGTAGGTGAATTCAATAAACTAAATTGGCCATAGTGTATGAGTGTTTCCCAGTGACGGGTTGCAGTTGGAAGGGCATCTGCTGCATAAAACATATGCTGAATAAGTTGGTACCTCTGTGGTGACCCCTGATTGATAAAGGGACTAAGCCAAAAAGCAAATGAATGAACTTTGGGTTGTGGCCTCAAGGAACAGGTTTAGCTTTTATGCCTCCAGCTAAGGGGTCACCAATCTTGTTTCTGGAGGTTAGGTGTCCTGCAGGGTTTAGCTCCAATTTCCCTCAACACACCTGCCTGGGTGTTTCAAGTATACCTAGTAAGACCTTGATTAGCTTGTTCAGGTGTGTTTGATTTGGGTTAGAGCGAAAATCTGCAGGACACCAGACCTCCAGGAACAAGTTTGGTGACCCCTGCTCTAGCTTAATTAGACCAAGGGTGGCCAAGTTAGATCATGGGCAGCAACAGTTCTGCAGAGTTTTGATCAAGCCTTTGTTAGGTTTCTAGTAACCTTTAGATCCTAATTAGTGTAGTCCACCTTTAGAAGCAGGTGTTCACTTCTCCTCTACTGCCTTGCTTTTTATTTTAGAATAGTTTGTTAGTGGTTTTGAATGCCTTTGGGCAATAAGGTTTGAGGGGCTAATAAGGAGTGGAGTGCAACTCTGCAGGACTATCTACAGCACAAGTAAGACTTAGGAGACTATGTGTATATGTTTGGTATTCACCACTAGATGTCAGTAGCACACCACTAAAGATTTTTGTTCCAGCATTCAAGCCAAGAAACACAAGTACTTTTTCCATGTAAACGCGCTCAGTAATTGATTTTAAGAGAACTAATTAAACTTGTGGGGGAGGGAAACGTAATTATATTACATAGTCACATTTTAACGCATCGATCTTTGTCAGAACTATGTTTAAACCTAAATTGCCACTGATGTCCTTTTAGACACTAGGTAAGTTTGATCCAAACTAGTTAACCGTTACACTCTCATACATGCATGTGGCAACTGTTCACTAATTTGTTTGACCCTTCAAGCTCTTCTGGCTCACCAAGTTCACGCGTGCACATTCACCCAATAGATGAGCCGCCTGTGGCCCAAACATACGCTCTGACGGGTTTGTTGTTTATCCTGACAGCATCGCCTCTAATCTTTAAGAGCGCCTGCTGGGATGCAAAACAAAGATACGCCATTATAATCCTCCACGAGTTTGCTTGGCACTTAAATTTGCAGGTGAAAGCTCCTGGTAAGTTGCGAAAGTCAGGCATCGGCTTACAGCGACGGTTTCCTGGATACCGGCATTCGTGGAAGCAAGCGGAGCATAAAACAATTCATATTTTTCATTGAACGGTTTTGCAGCTCCAAGTTTACATAGTCAATATGACATAGTTTACACTCCAGTTCCAGTTGAGTGAAGGTGAGTGCCAATTAGCATTTTAAAGGCCTAATTTCCTGTGGAGCAAGATTATAAAGCTCTGCGCGCACCTTTTAAGCACCTGTTTTAAAACTCTGCTGGAAAGAGTGTGATTAGATTGCCAAATTAGAACACTACAACAAAAGCGAACAGTCTCTGCTAGTTTTCTCTCCCGGGTTTTGGAGTGCTCTTAAATACAGGTCATCATACAAAGGACACCTACACAGGGATTGCCACACTTTAAAAGTAACTAATCTTTTTTTGAAAGCATGCCATAAAACATAATCCAAGTGCTAAGGGCAATTGCAAATCATGTCTGATGCTGGTCTGATGCACAAGTGCCAAGATACCATTAGCATCTTGTTATGCAGTGCATTTTCATGTCCTCCATCATAGAGAGTGTCTTAATATATTAAATCAAGTATTAGATTAAAGCTTCTTAAAGATGTAAATCATATTACTAAATTGCACGAGGTGAGGAACTTAAAATTATTTCACTGCACTGGTTTGAGTCAATGTTGCCATTTATTGCTTGCTGTGATATGCAACTTCTAAAATGTTTATTTTTTATTATTTTTTAAATTCCCTACATCTGCTTTGCCTTTTTAATATCCACTTAAGCAAGGATGTCCAAACTTGCTCCTGAAGCCCCACTGCCCTGGAGTTTTGCTCCTACGTTAGTAATAACCACTATTTATTAGTGATGGGCAAAGCTTCGAAACATTATGAAACCCGTCTCCACAGTGACACCTAGTGGTCATTTTTTAATGTATTGCTCTAGACCAGCTTCAGCAACGAAACAGTTGAGCAAATTGAGCTATTTAACACCATGTTGTAAAATTCAGGTTTCAAGTGATTTACTGGAGCGATGAGTTCCTGACTAGCATACAGAAATAATCAATAGTATCTGGATGCAGCCTTTATGATTTAAGCTGAGATTGAACTCAGCGATGCAATGTCAGAGACAATGCACTCAATGGAGTGAATGACGTCACTGTGACGGGGAGGGGATAGGTGAGTGCATTAAAAAGTATTGGATGTAGTTCAGATTGCACTGCGACAGGACTGCATCCAGACCACTCTTGAAACAATGGGTTCGAATACAAGGTGAAGCAGCTATAGATGTCAGTTTTTAAATGCTCTGTTATTGTAATGTGTTTTGCTTTAACATTGGTCGGACATCCAAATGAACACTTTGTGAATAATTATGTCTTGTTTAGGTCATAAAAAATGTAACATTATAAAATACTTTAAGTCATAATTTTAGAGTAATTCTACAAGTTGGGATTTGAACTCGGAACATTTGCAGCACAGTTACTCTCTGCATATGCATGGTTTACTGGGCTACATGAAATAGCAATGCAATCTCACACAAATCATAACTTTTTGATTTAGTGTCTAATTTAAACACAATCTAACTCAAACAATTTGCTCATCGTAATGGGTTTAGGGTCAGGGTTGGGTGCCATGTCTCCTTTTTAAAATCGTACATTTTCATACGACTGAAATCATACGAATTAGCCACTAAACTGACAACACGTAAAATACGATTTCTCGTCAGATCAGGCTGGAAATAGAGCTTTATTTTCAACTCTGTCATTCAAACACAGAAACGTTTCTAAAATGACCGATGCTTTGAATTGCTTTAGTCATGTGACTTGGGCCCCGTTTACACTGCCAGTTAAATGTGACCCAATTTCGTTTTTTTGCTTATATATGACACAGATCGGTTCTGTTCTATGACTGTTCGTTCATTTTCTTGTCAGCTTAGTCCCTTCATTAATCTCGACGCTGTGTTGAAACATCAGTTTCACGTCAACCATCCCTACAATTCAATAGTCTTTAAACGCAGTAAAAACAATTGCTTTAGAAACTTTCTGGAAGCAGGTCCCTAATTTTAATACCTAGGTCTTTAAGTTTTGATGTATTAAATGTACCAACAGATTATCTTATGCACTGACATGATTAGATTGGCGCATATACAAATACAAGCTTACAGTGGATTGCCTGAAAGTTACATTTTAAGCTGCCAAAAGGCTTTTGCATGCCGTTAGTTCCTAGAACTACTTGCAGAAGTATCCAGATTTTGGCATGTTCACCACAGGACATAGGGCCTCATTTATAAAATGTGCAGGAACTATTGTAAATTTGTTGAAAGATCATTTCGCAAAAGTCTTGTCAACGTTAACAATGCCATGCTTCAGGAATTTGCATAAATTTGAAATGAAGTGATGGAACGGCCATCAGGATGTATTAATAAAGAATTGAATGCAATCTCTGGTGTTTTGTGGTTGTTTCAATTTGTGTCACTCAAAAGTTATAGCTACGTAACAGGAACAGAACAAAAGGTAGAAAAAGAGAGACCATATAATAAGGTAAAGAAACGTATGAAGGTCTAGCCCAGATGAGAGACACACTTCACGCTTTTATTTCTCCTGTTCGGCTGGAGAATCTTATGAGGGTCTCTCTAGTGCCCTTGCTGACCATTAAAGGAAACTAATTGGAGTCCAGGGACAGACAGCTCTGAGGGCTACCGAAACATTTCAAAGAAAAGAGTTCCCAGAGAAGATCTCTACAAGAAAAAAAAGAGAAGGAAATACTGCTGCAGTTTTGGAGCCTACTCCACTATGTACCTTCTTACTACTCCGACTCAAGGGAAATAAGAAAGGGGGAAAAAAGTGGGAAAGAAGTCTGAGGTGATGGGTTTCTGGGAGATATGGTTTACTCTGAGTCATCATGCCTGAAAGATTTGATCTGTGGCCAGAAAACTGCTCTCCTTTCTTCTCAGCTTTTCCCTTTTCTCTTCTAATCCCTCTGCGTTTGAGTCTTCAGAGACTGCATGGACTATAGCAATTCGGATTTAGCAGATTTGTACACATAAATTTGTAGCTACGTGAACTGCCTCTTAAATGCTGCTAATCGGATTGTCGCAGACTAGAACAAAGCTGCCGCTTTCTTTTATTTCACAAAAATCTGACATAATGTACGGTTAGCCAGTCATTATAACGCCAAATAAACCCAGACAGGGTGGCTTGATATTAAACACAGCTCTTTTGTCATCCGATAAATTATTTCAAAAAAGCAATTAATTACTAATTACATCTTTCAAATTTACATTATTTTATGTATCTAACTACCATGTCTGAAAAGTCATTTAAATACTTTACTTAATATTACATTTAATCTGTGTAAATCTTAATGCAATAAAAAATACACTTAATTAATTAAATCAGATTAGTCACATTAGCTAAGGAATTTTAGCTTACTTTAAAATAACTAATACTTCATGAAATGGTTCAATGTAATTATGTCATATTTCATACATACCATAATATTGTAATTTATTTCTGTCAATTCAGTGTTTTAACCAGTATTAAGCATGTCAAACAAATGTAACCTTTAGTTTACAAAATCTAAATGTTCTACTAAAGATATTAGCATAACAAAAATATAGTTT